CTTCCTATCAAAACTACAGAAATGAAAATTTTAATATTGTATGTTATTTGAATTGTTACCATTTTGTTCAGCCCCTTCCTTGCTTGTGTAGGGAAAAATATCAATGGAAACTTTTTTCTCTAAAAGCCTTATTTGCTGTCCCATTTGTTGAATACTTTATTTTTTATTTATGTTTTATTTTTTTTTTTTTTTGAGAGAGAGAGAGAGAGAGAGAGATTTTTTTGATATTTATTTATTTTTTGGCGGACACAGCATCTTTGTTTGTATGTGGTGCTGAGGATCGAACCCTGGCCGCATGCATGCCAGGTGAGCGCGTTACCGCTTGAGCCACATCCCCAGCCCCTGTTGAATACTTTAGATTTCCAGTTTATTTTGAACAAAGTGCTACCACACATTTAATGACTTATTTGTTTATTTATTTGTACTAAGGATGGAACCCAGGGTTGATTAACCATGAGCCACATCCTCAGCCCTTTTTAATATTTTATTTAGAGACAGGGTTTCGCTGAGTTGCTAAGTGCCTCTAAGTTGCTGAGGCTGGTTTCAAACTCACAATCCTCCTGTCTCAGCCTCCTGAGCTCCTGGGATTATAGACTTGTGCCACCGAGCCCAGTGAGGTATATTTTTATACTCCACATCAGCTATCTTCCAAATCCTATAGTTCAGAAACTCTAACAATAGAGATATTTGTGAATTTTGATGTAGCAATAGATTTTATTTCAATTAGAGGAATGTTGATGCATGTTTGGATGAAACTATGAATTATATGTGTGCCATAACCAATTCCAGCTACTCCATAGGTTTCTTAATGTAGTAAGAACATCGATTTTACCACAAATACTGTGCTTCTTCAAATTTTGTACTTGTACTGTTATTATAAACTCATAATTTTATCAACACTGAACTTTAAAAAATATTTTTGTTTTAATTAGTTATACATGACAGTAGAATGCACTTTGATACATCATATATAATGGAGCATAATTTCTCATTCTTCTGATTCTACATGATGTAGAATCCCACTGGTTTTACAGTTATATATGTACACAGGGTAATAATGTCTAATTAATTCCACTATTTTTCCTATACTCATATCCTCTCCCCTTCCTTCACTTCCATCTGCCTAATCCAAAGTAACTCTATTCTTCCCTAGCCCCTACCACTTATTGTAAATTAGCATCTGTATATCAGAGAAAACACTTGGCTTTTGGTTTTTTGGGATTGGCTTTTTTTGCTTAGCATGATATTCTCTAGCTCCATCCATTTACCAGCAAATGCCATCATTTCATTTTTCTTTAAGGATGAGTAATATTTCACATTTTAAATCCACTTATCTGTTGAAGGGCATCTAGGTTGGTTCCGTAGTTTAGCTATTGTGAATGGAACTGCTATTAACATTGATGTGGCTACGTCACTGTAATATGCTAATTTTAAGTCCTTTGGGTATAAACTGAGAAGTGGTATACCTGGGTCAAATGGTAGTTCCATTCTAAATTTTCTGAGGAATCTCCATACTTCTTTCCATAATGGTTGCACAAATTTGCATTCCCACCAGCAATGTATGAATGTACTTTTCCCCCCATATCTTCACCAACATTTATTGTTGTTTGTATTCTTGATAATACAAACATTCTTGCCATTCTGACTAGGGTGAGATGAAATCTTAAGTAGTTTTGATTTGCATTTCTCTAATTGCTAAAGATCTTGAATATTTTTTCATATGTTTGTTGATCGATTGTTATTTTTTCTTTTGTGAAGTATCTATCTGTTCAGTTCTTTAGCCCATTTATTGATTGGGTTATTTGGTTTTTTTTGGTGTTAAGATTTTTTAGTATCCTGGAGATTAATGCTGTACCTGAGGTGCGTGTGGTAAAGATTTTCTCCCATTCTGCAGGCTCTCTCTTCATGTTATTGTTTCCTTTGTTGAGAAGAAAGTTTTAGTTTGAACCCACTCCATTTATTGATTCTTAATTTTATTKCTTGCACTTTAGGAGTCTTGTTAAGGAAGTCAGATCCTAAGCTGACATGGTGAAGATTTGGACCTACTTTTTCTTCTATTAGGCACAGGGTCTCTGGTCTAGTGCCTAAGTTTTTGATCCACTTTGAGTTGAGTTTCATACAGGATGAGAGATAAGGGCTTAATTTCATTTTGTTACATGTGGAGTTTCAATTTTCCCAGCACCATTTATTGAATAGGCTATCTTTTCTCCAGTGAATGTTTTCAGTGCCTTTGTCACTCACGAAGGGTTTATCTTTGGCAGATTATACTCATAAAAATTTTACTTTGATCCCATGAATGGACAGAAAGAAAAAAATCCAAATCATTTTTAGAATTAACTTAAATGATTTAACAATGGAAGCACCTGACAACACTGAACTAAAACTGAAATTATTTAACTATTTACTAAGTTCTTCTGCCAATGCTTCCCTTTTCCAATGTGCACATAAAACCATATAGTTGAAAATGAATGACATTAACTTAGAAGAGTAGTTATTTACCTACACAAATTATGTCTCTTAGAGTGGCATGTATATATACCTTCTGTGCTGCATGTGTTAGATCATCATCTTTAGGCAGTGATCTTAAATTAACTACCAGCTTCCACAGATTCTGATACTTCTCCAGCAAATTTGATTCTCATTTTCATGTGGTTAGTGATATCACTATGGCCTCTAAAGTGGATAGTAAATGTCAACAAACATTTTGTGCAAGTTACATGTTTCTTATCAAATTTCTCAAAACACAAAAATGCAGTACTTTAAAAAAAATGAAACATATATTTTTAGTTTTTTTCAGCTCACTCCTGCTAAAAGGACTTATAAAAACAAAGTGCTGTAAAAAAACATAGTTACCAGATTTACACTATACAAGCAAGCATGCTCAGCCTACCCTACTTTTTACTTGCTGTACAACACAAGTGACCAGCTCTGACTTCTCACATATATTTTATAGACATCAAACCTATGTTTCCCACTGAGCTTACACAGTGGTACCTGGCAGCTTTTTTTTTTTTTTTTTTTTTTTTTTTTTTGGTACCAGGGATTGAACTCAGGGGCACTTGACCACTGAGGAACATCCCCAGCCCTATTTTGTATTTTATGTATAGACAGAGTCTCACTGAGTTGCTTAGCACCTCGCTTTTGCTGAGGCTGGCTTTGAATTCATGATCCTCCTGTCTTAGCCTCCTGAGCCACTGGGATTATAGGCATGCACCACCACGCCTGACTACCTGGAAGCTTTGTGACTTGTAGTCCATGCATGGATCATGGTACAATTGGTTGATAACACCAAGTAGCTAACTAGGGCAGCAGTGGCAAATAACTTCTCTCATCACTTAATACAGAAAGGAGTTATCTCAGTCTAGACATTTGTATTTAAGTGTATTTTGTGGGATCAGCAATTGCCCTGCAATGAGGAGGTGTTAATTACACTGTGTCTAAAAGGGCTGTGAAAAAGAGATGGGTTACTTACTGCTGGTTGTCTTTCAGATTTAATAACACCTTAAAATGAGAACTCTGTCCACTGTGTAAGGGTTTCACAGTACAATTAGTTTATATTAGACAAAAATTAAGCAGAGGCTAGAAGTACAATGTGGAAATCTATCAAACCCGTTGTGTTTTATTCTAATGTAATAATTAGATAATAAATCCTTGTTAAAAAATGGAAAATTCAGAACAAAAGCCAAACAAGATGGGATTTGGGGAAAGCTGTCTTACATTGAGACTGTTCTTAGCAAACCAGATGTACACTCAGGTGACCTTCAAGGAAAGGAGAACTGTCCATTTTTGCCTTTCTTCCTCTTTCCTTCCTATTGACTGGAGTGAGGCATGATGGCAACTGTCTTAGACCATGAAGTGGTAAGATAAGGAGGGCAGAACAGTAAGATAGAAGGAGCCTGGGTCCTTGACTTTGCAGAATCACCATACCAACTTCTGGATGTTTTTACATGAGAGAAATAATAAAGAACCCCCTCCCACACATACATAGGCCAATGTTCTCTTGTTGTCAAACATAAACCTGATATATAAAGAATATTTCTCCTTTACAGAAAGCAGTGTGACAATATGTATCAAGAATACTGAAAATGTTTAAACCCTTTCAATTTATCTTAAAGAAATAATCTGGAGGGGCTAGGGTTGTGGCTCAGTGGTACAGTGCTTGCCTAGCACATGGGAGGCCCTGGGTTCGATCCTTAGCACCACATAAAAATAAATGAAATAAAGGTATTGTGTCCAAATACAACTAAAAAATAAATATTAAAAAAAGAAATAATCTATAATGGAAAATCAGGAATGAGAAAATTGATGTGAAAAGATATTTACTGCAGGTCAATTTGTGATAAATAGGAAGCAGACTAAATGTTGAACACTAAAGAATTTGTTAAATAAATGATATAATATCTAAATGAAAGAATATTATGCAATTATTTAAAATGTATGAAAAATGTTTTTTTTAAATGTTAACAGAATGGGAAAATACCCACATTATAATATGAGGTGCAAAGCAATAATAGGATTAAAAAACCTTATATACAAGCACGTTCTTGTATATTATAAAAATGATCCCTATATATAAAAGTATAAATGAATAGCCAACAAATGACTACAAAGAAATACATGAAAATATTAGCTAGATACTGGGATTATAGATAATATTTATTTATATATTCTTTATTTAGAATAATTTTTAATAATTTAATTTTAATAATTTAAAATTTGTTAAGAATAAATTTAACTTATTAATATATTCTTTATTTGGAATAATAATTAATGAATTTTACCTGTAATCACAAAAAAATAAAAATTACTTTCAAAACTGACTTATAGCATTTACCAGTTTTCCCTGGTGTTGACACCGCCATCATCATCTTCAACAACGTTTTACTGAACATCTACATGGGGGAGTTGGGCACAGAGCACAGAGACCTCTATGGCTCCATCTCCCAACCAAGAACTACCTGAAGGTCATCTAGGTATAAGTTAACTCTTACAATTTTTACCTTGGTGTTCTGTAGCAGGGCTAGTCCATTGCAGGCATTTGCTAGAAGGAAGTCTCCACTTAGGATAGCTATTTTATTTCCGAATTGCATGTCTTTCAGTGGTCCATCAGAAGACTGCAATTCATTTAAATTTACTATCCCACGATGTACAAGGAGAGCAGTATGGATAAGTTCTGTGATCTCTGCCAAACTTCTTTGACTAAAACATAAAGATAAAATCTGTTTGAGTATCAAGAATATAATTTTTATTACTAATGTCAGGCTTCAAGTTTTCAACAATAAAACATTTACTAGATTATTCTTTGAAGGGGGTATTCCTTTTTAATTAAAAATTTATAATAGAGGACTTGCCATTGAGTAGTTTGGGATCTATAAGTAGATCTTGACAACGTCTTTCTCTATAATGCTCCTACATTCTATCTCACAATTCACGGGGATCCCCAGAGAGAAGCCACCCTCCACAGTTCCATTTAGATATTTTGCTCTCAGGATACTTTTCTCATTCTCATAACTTTAAGATTTCTAAGAATCCTTGGTAGTATCAACAGAACAACAATTTAAGTGGGAATATATCTGTGTCAGATATTAGGCTAAGTATTTAATGTGCATTATCATCCTAAATACAAAGTTATGAAATTTACAGAGTTGAATTCTCCTCCTTCAGGGACTTTACCTTTCAGGACGAGAAAGGTGTACATACACATACACACACACACACACATACACACACACACACACACACCCCTACAATGGAAATAAGACAGAAAAGGCCCTGAGGAGCTCCTGGTATAGTGTTGTATTAGATGGAATTTCAGGAGATGTTTGCTTTCTTTTAAATAATTTTCTACAGTTTGTATATTTTGCACAATGACAAAAGTATTACTCTCATATCTGCACAAAAAACAAGTAGTTATTAGAGGGTGGGGATTGGTTCAGTGGTAGAGCTCTTGCCTAGCATGCATGAAGCTTTGGGTTCGATCCCCAGTATAAAAATAAATAAACAAGTAATTACTTAAAATTAAAATATCATAACAACCCTGTTATAGATATTATTTACCCCTTTATGKCATAAAAAAATTGTTGCACACAAGTGAAATGACTTCCCAAGGATACAAAGTAATGTAAACTGGAAATCTGTTGGAGTTTAACCATTACAAATGGCTCCATGTGAACTATATCTCTTAGTCCATGGTCCTGTGCAGTCCTTACCACATTAACCCTGGCCATGTACTTGCTTGGTCACTAGGACTCAACAAACATGATGCAAGCAAAGCCTAATGAATGCTCACGTAACTGACAAGCTTAGGTTTATCTAAGGCAGTCACAGGAATCACATGACCCTAGGTAGAAGAACCACCCTGTCAACTTATAGAATGGTAAGAAACAAAAATGGTTGTTTTAAATCACTAAAATATAGAGTGGTTTGCTATGCAACAATAGATATGCAACACAGAAACTGGTATATCTAATAGTGAGGTGTTGATGTAATCAAAACTTAAACTACATATCAATGGCTTTGAGTGTTAGAAGTGAAGGGTGAAAAAATGGCAAACCTTTGTATGGGCTGAAAAGACATTGAAGAAATTACTCCTAGAGGACTGAAGGGACATACTGTGCTATAAGGTAGTAAAACAAGTGGGAAAACCATTTTGTACATGGAGTAACTTATGGCATGGCCATAAGACCCTTTGTAAAGACCCAAAAAACTGAAAGTGGTGACTGGGAGAGCTCTCAGACAAAAGAGCATCTATGAATTTTAAGGGTACTGTTCCACTGCAGCCTCATTGTCAGTTCAAAGTGGAGAGTCTGTCTCAACAATGAATTATGAATATGGCTTTTAGGGTACAGAATGGCCAATCAGAATCTCAAAAAAAATTTAAAGAAGTTATGAGTTTGGGTTAAAAGTAACAGTTTAAGATGAGGGGGAAAAGGAGTTTCTGGATCTCCAGCTTTTTGGACAAAAAGCAGGTTGATAGCTAGTCAGCTATAGATAGGAGCCAGTTCTTACCAAAAAGGGAAGATAGCTCAGAAAGCAGAGTCAAGAGCCATAAATAGGTAGATTAGAAAACAAATTCTAGGGAGTAGGACTGGGCCCTAATCATGAAGCATTCCTTGCTCACTGCCCAGCTGAATTTCAGCATTGCTCTGGACCAATGATTACTGTGTACCTCTCATTACTCCTTTTTTTTTTTTTTTTTTAAATGATGCTGGGGATTGAACCCAGGGCCTGTGTATGCAAGGCAAGCACTCTACCAACTGAGCTATATCTCCAGCCCTCATTACTCCTTTTTAAAAAACAGAAGTGGGGGCTGGGTTGTGGCTCAGAGGTAGAGCGCTTGCCTAGTATGTGTGACGTACTGGATTTGAGACTCAGAACCACATAAAAATAAAATAAAGATATTCTGCCCACCTATAACTAAAAAATCAATATTAAAAAATGAAGTGACTATTGTGACTATTGGTTTAATTTGTTTCTGCCTCAATATTGTATACTGGATATAAGGTGGCAGTGGTGGGGTGGACTACTTGTTCTTTTAGTTTCTAGATTCCTGAGTTAAGAGGAGTTGTATCCAGGGAGCCACATCCACAACTAGACCTAGTGCAAATGATGAGATAATGGACTTTGAACTTGATGCCATGAAATAGGTGTGTCTTAGGGATCTTAGGAGGCAGCACATTATGCCCATGGAAAGAATATGAATCACTGCAGCCAGGGGCAGACAGCTTACCAATAATAAACCATCTCTTTGGGTTTCCATGCCATATGTAGTCTCCTCTTTGATTGACTCTAAGTTTGATAAATATGATTTGTCTGGCCAAGGGGACATCAGCAGGCATGGGTCAAACAGGCTTGGTAAGTGTTTTGCATTGGGACTTGCCTTCTTGGAATGCTGCCCTGAGACTACATGTTAAGAAAACTAGTACAGCCTCCCAGAGGATGAAAAACAACATGGAGAGAAGTATAGTCATAGGAGCCCAGCTAAGCCTCTGGCTGTTTTACCCAGGCCACAAAAATATACCCAGGAGAAACCAGCAGAGGAACAGTTTACTCAACCTGCAGAATTATGAGAAAAAATGGTTGTTTTAAACTACTAAGGTTTGAGTCGGTTTGTTATGCAAAAATGGAAAAGAGACCCTAAAATCCCATCTATTTCTACTACCTAGGCTGCCTCCCAAATATTCCTCAAAGAACCTAATGAGAGCTAGGCTTTGAAAGATAAAGTAGGATTTCCATAGCTGGAGAGAAAGAGCAGAGACAACAGCAGGCATTAGGAACCCATAAATAAGGAAGACCAGGAATTAAGGCCTAGGGAAGGCAAGGCTAGAAAATGTGGTGAGGATGAGGAGGTTAGTTTGGTTAGAATACAAAGCATGAGGGTTAAGTGAGAAATAGGAATCTGGAGGTAGGTTAGAGCAGTTAAAGGGTTTGTATTTTATTACAAAGGCAATGCTTTAGAGAAGAGGGATGATATATATGCTTTAATAATTTAGGAAGAATATCCCGAAGGTGGTAATGTAGAAAAAAATCTGAAAAAGTGGATAGTAAGAGTAGAGAGATATTACAAAGGTCCAAGGCAAATGTGACAAAAGGGCTTGACCTCAGACCTCCTTTGGACATGGAGAAGAATAAATACATCAAATAACAAACACTTGCCCCCCTTTTCTCAAATATAGTACTTATTGAGCAACTATTAAATAATAATTACATAAAAATATAATTAAAAACAAAGGAGTCAAAAAACTTGGTAATATCAAAAAACATATCTCTAGTTCATTTTCCTTTGTTTAAAAAATTATAGAGAATGTGTAAAGATGACCCAGTAGACATATAGCACTTGATTACAAACTGCAGGAATATGGAAAGGAGATGAACCAGTGAGTGAAACAGTTTCTAAGAAAAAAGTAAATTCATGGTTAGATTAAAATCTCATTACATCCCCAAGAAAATCATTAAGGATAGATGCTTATAAGACTATTGAGAAGTTAACAGAAAACATTTTTTTTTTAAGAGCAGAGCTAACATTTAAAATCATCCTTTAGGGTCTGGGGATGTGGYTCAAGTGGTAGCGTGCTTGCCTGGCATGCACGCGGCCTGAGTTTGATCCTCAGCACCACATACAAAGATGTTGTGTCCACCGAAAACTAAAAAATAAATATTAAAATTCTCTCTCTCTCTCTCTCTTTAAAAACAATGAGGTATCACATTCATGTTCTCATTTAAAAAAATAAATAAAATCATCCTTTAAAAAAACAACTAAAAGAAAGGAATAAAAGTACATCTTATTACTATCTTGAAAATGCTTTCTAGTTTACAAAACCATTCACTGAAAAAAAAATCCATATTGTCACATTCCAAAAATAAAATCACACAATTAAATTATGGGCAAGCATAAAACTCAAAAGGGTTAAGCATTTGGATAAATCTCTCATGAGGCTTAGCTTGAGAAAGAAAAGTAATCACCAGGCAAGCAAGAAGCTGTAGGTGTTTTGAATTACTCTGAGGAAGAAAATAAGTAATTATGAGCTTTTAATAAAGACATCTATAAACATAAAAGAGCATTCATTAAATTAATAGCAACTTTTAAATGCCACAGTCAGTAGTAACAAAAACAATGATAATACTAAAAGTGAAAACCCATCAGATTGTATAGGGCCCAACATTTACAAAAAGAACTCATTTATATTATCTACTTGTGATTCTAATGATAGCAGGTCTGGGGAGGTTAAATACTTGATTGAGAACATGGAGTTTGAAAAGGAGAAAGCTGGAACTCAGTCACTTTGTCATAGTGACCAATGATAATTTCAAGTGTCTATTTACCTCCCAAATAGTAAATGAAGGAGAGGGGAAATAAGCCAAAGTTACCAATGTTACCAATGTTCATCAAAAATCTGTCCAGTTTTCACCCCCAGTTTTTAAGTACCACGGAAAGAAACTTTACTAGGAGAAAGTATATTAAGAACAAGTTTGGCTCTTTTATTGTGCAGAATAACTGAATAAAGTAATCAAGTTGTTTCTAAATTATTTGCTCAGAACCAAATCAACTTATTTAGCCCAGTCAGGAATTTCAATGACTTTTCTACTTCTGCCTATTACATGAGATAGTTAGGGGCAAACTCCTTAAATAATCAGTCCCTTGGTCTTCTTATCACTGAAAAGAAGAGTGCTAGATAAACAAATTCCTTCCTGCTCCCTAA